TCATAAGAAATTTGAATACTTAAGTAGGATGCAAATTTTATGTAAAGTACAATTACAACTACATATAAATTATGCATAGAAAAATACACAAAATACACTAAGATTTTGGCAGCAATTGTGTTTGGATACTTTGCCTATTGGTCATTTTTTTCCTTTTATACTTCCTGCATTGCTACATTGTCTTTAGTAAATATATACTACTTTAAAACAGGAAAAATTAAAAGCTACATATATTCATTGTATTAGTTTATGGTTTAATGCATTTATTAAACTGGGTTGAAGATCCAGAAAATCAGAATGTGACTAATGAGTTGGCAGAAAATAATCTGGAAACCAGAAAACACAGTAAGGACCACAATGAAGATAGAATCATGTGTATTTAATAAAGGGTAATATAGTGGGTTTCAAAAAACTAAATCTCTACATTTGAGATGTTTAAAACTAATTTTCAGTTCCACGTTTTAGCCATAGATGTGGGTGGCTAAAATGAACGTATATGCACACGAACACACACACACACACACACACACACACACACAAAGACTCACAGACACATTCACACACGCGTACACACACAATGTGAGTGGGAATGGATTTTGAGATGTGAAGTGGAAAAGAAAACAGTGAAGCAAGTGGGGATGATCAGGATAAGTGGACAAGAGCAACCCGAATGAGAATTAGACAGGATGATATAATATTGTAGTTTGAACTTCAGTAAAGATTCGCAAATACTTAGCAGCATTACCATGGTAAAGTAAATTATATTTAGGCATCAATTAACACTGAGATAGAAACAACCAATTTGTAAAGACGGTGTAGAGACAAATAACCTGTTTAAATTGTGTTCTGTTTATTAGTATGTTCAATTGTATATGAATGCATCCTAGGTCCTAAACAAATGGCCCTACTTTCTGTTTCTTCTCCACAAATATGTTCCAATTTACTTTTCAAACCCTATGTGTATATCTCAAATAAGCCTGGTCCAATGCATTATATAAATAAGACATAATTGGTAAAGTACATTAATGAAATCTTTGAAGATGCCATTTTTCACGTGAGTCTACATATAATACCACCTTTAAAGTTTATTCCACTTTTCTTATCATACACTCTAGTCAACAAGGGAAATTTTACTTAAATGTTTCCGTTTCCACATAGACTTCAGCCAACCCTCTACAGTAAAAAGTATGCAATATTGTATGTGCTTTTTTTGGTTTGATTACTAATGTATATACTGGTAAAAGCTAAATTTTAATTCACTAGTATCATTGATAATTTGGAAGAATATAGAAGGCTAAAATCTAATCGAATTGAAACATATGTCTCTTGCTAAGACTTAGTTCTGACCCAAGAAAGCCTCTTCTGCTTTCAACGCCCCTTACCCAACTCAATCTCTTTAAGGCTCCCATGGTAGCCTAGGTATATTTCTACCTTTGTTCATCCAAAAATCTTTTTATACACCTACCTCTGTTTTCCTCTAAAAACCCATTGAAGCTGAGAATATATTTAACGAATCTTTATATATCAGCACCCATAAGAGCACCTAGAAAATATTGCAAGCACAATGAATACCTATTTGAATGACTTAATTGAATATTTTCTATCCAGTTGTTAATGCTATTACATTATAGAACATCTGTGGCTCAGGATTCAGTGTTCTAGTTCTATATGAATTCACAGCAGAGTACTATATTTTAAAGAATTATAAAGTTTATGCTCAATCTACACTGCTAATCCAAAAAGCAGCCTTTATTAAAAATTAATTTTGGTGTACCCCAAATAGTCTTAAAACATTATTATGCCTTGTGGCAAAACTTCCAATCATATGTTTATAAATTTGTTTTTAACCTGTCAAGCATACACTGGCCCCTGTTACATATCCTTTTTTTTTTTTGTTAGTGAAATCAGTGGATTCTAAATTGCAATAGCATTCTTTATTTCAGCAGTAATTTAGCAGGGACAAACCCAGCGATACCTGGAAAGATGCTTATTACTTCCTGCACCTCTACCTCTAGCTCATCTAACCCTTTCTCCAACATCTATGAAAATAAGAGTTCCCTCCTTTCCCATCTGTTTTGCTCAACAAGATGCAGAGGGAGGAACAGTGAACTTCAGGCAAGCAGTTCAGGGATTTGGTCCCAGGATTGTTACTACAGAGTTAATTAGACTTTGAATGCTTCCCCTAACAGCTCTGGGTTTCCATTTCCTCCTATATAAAACGAAGGGGCTGCACCAGATGATAATTGTAAAAATAACTAAAAGCCCTATTTATTAAGCTTTTACTATATGCAAAGAACTGCACTATGTGCTTTACATGCATTATCTCATTTAATTTTAATCCTCCAAACACGTTTATAAAGTGTATCAGTCAAGGTCCAGCAGGAAACAGATGGTACACATCAAATTGGGTAATTTGAGGAGAGCTTAATAAAGGAACTTTATTAAAAAGGTGTGAGCAGGGTGTCAGGAAACCACAAGAGACAGTACAGTGCCCCAAGGCTAGTACAGCAGAAAGACATGGTTACCTAAATCCAGAAACCGAACTCTGGGGGGAAGAGGACTGCTTGAGCTGTGGCTGGAATGCAGCCTGCCCTCAGGGACCCGAGGAATCAGCACCCTGACCTCGCTCTACCCACTGTAGGCAAACCCAAGATGAAACAAGGACCATTTTAAAGCCATCCATGCCAGCCTTCAAGGGGACAAACCAGGAGGGGGAAAGCAAAGGATAGACCTGAAGACGCTGACAAAGGTGTCCAGTAATAATAACTCTTGTTATGCTGATTTTATGCATGAGGTTACTGGGGTTTAGAGGGGTCAGGTGACTACTAAGAGTTCACAGACAGCACAGGCCAGACCTAATCTTCAGTCCCTTTGTGTTAAGACTCCAGAGCCTGAGCTCCTGATGGCTTTTCAGCCTTTGGAGTCCCTTTTTGTCCTTCTAGGGTTAAAAACAGCCTCAGAAGTGATCTGATTCAACCCTCTCCCTTAGAGATGTTTGAATAAGATGTCTCTCCACTTAGGACATGAGCCTTGCAGAGACCTCGGTAGCCTTTGAAAAGCTAGTGGTCTGTGTGCTCATTCTTCCTGTTCCAATACTGTGGCTTGTATCCTGACACGTAATTTTGATTTATAACTCTGAATGAGACACTCGTAGAGACAAAGTTGTGAGGCAGTCAAAAGGAGAGGAGAGCATTTTTTACTATTAAAATTTTTTCTTTCTTCTGACATGCTCTCTTCATTAAGGAACTTAAGGAATTTTCCGTTGACAAAGAGTTGTCTAGTGAATAGCTTTGCTTGGGGTCAGGGTGGGAAGCAGGGAGGGCAGTAAATGGATGACTGGATTTTCCAATTTCACGTGCTGGAGTTAGAACACAGTCCAAGACTGTTAAATGTGTTCCAGTAGACTATGGAAGAAGTAAACAGAATGCAATATGTTTAAATGCAGTGAAACTAAAAACTACTATTAAACATATTCTTCAGTATCTCTATGAGGGTCCTTAAGATAAGAAAAGAAAAGGAAATTTTCATAGAGTGAGTAATCAGAGGTTGTTAATTACTCTTTGTGTGAGAATTAAATTTGCTGAAGAGGGACTACTGAAGTAATTATCTGAGGTCAAGGGGCCCATCCCCAATCTGTCTGCTCCTCGGTCAGACAGAGATAAAAAAAAAAAAAAATCCCATTCAGGACTCCTAGTAATGGGAAAGTCTTCCTGTACAAGCACTTTTTGGCCTACAAACAGGTTGTAGTCTAAGATGGTCTGTAACTCAGTTGTTGGGAATATGAACCAAATCTTCTAAAAGTCAGGGTGTTATAAACTGTGACTCAGGGATGGACCAACCTTTGACACCCATTAAAATCTCCAATCTAACTCAGTGTGCATTGCAAAAGTACTTCCTGGTATGAAGCAAGAGGAAAATGACAATACTGAGAACTCAGTGCTCCTGTCCCAGGTCAGGTCCTGAACCTGGCATGTTCTCACTGCCTGTCACAATCCAGCACTTTCAGGCTCAACGCAAGAATGGAACCTGAAAGTTTCAGGCACACTGGAGTAGTGCCAGGGTTTGTCATCTTTGTTACTAACAGGATGTAGGAGGCTTTCATGGGTGAACAGTGAGTGTTGTGGCCCAGATACGCCTCACCTCGAACTCAAAGGCCCTTTTTGTTTGCTTACATTTTACACCAGAGTGAAGGATAAAAAGTGGAAGAGTTACATGTTTGTTTTAACTGTTTGGAAAACTTCCCAATTTTAGCAGAATGTCTGCCTATAAGTAATGAGGATCTGTGAGCGAAGAAAAGGAACAGTTTGATTACCTTTTTCAAAGATTATCCCATAAAGGCAAGGCAGGCCTCAAAGAACACTCTCAGGTGAGAAAGTTCAGTTTGGGGCTCCCTTTTAACTAACTGGGCAATACAGTATTGAGACACTGACTCTTCATAGGAAATCTTCAAAAACCTGGGCTACAGAACATCTTTTTTCGAGGACAATGATTTTCCTGCCATTGAACCCTAGCTAAGCAAGACTTTTGAGACTGATTTAATCATCATCGGCTTCAGTGTCTTGCTAGTGAGTGAAAACGGGATTAGGATGGCATAAGGGGAAAAAGTTTTCAGTGACTCGTGGTAAACCACTGTTAAGAGACACCCTCCACTCCTTCAAATAGGCCCTGCATGTGTAAAAGTCAATTTCTAATTTATGAGAGATTAGAACCAGAGAGTAGCTCATATTTAGACCCTGAAAAGATAAGGAACGGTGAATATTCCCCAAATTAGGTTTCAACATATCTCTGATCTAGTGATTTGCCCAGTAATTTCCCCAGACTGGGGCAGGACTGAAGAACTTAAAATGGGGAGGAAGTGGTATCTGATAAATCTACGGTTTAGGATAGCTGAATTTCTGGTGGAGGGGAGAATGGAGGAGAAAGGTAAGAGAAGAGGAAAGAAGGTGTGTGTTTGTGGGGGAGAGGAGCGGGGCGGGGGGGGGGGGGATTGAGCTCCACCAGGTTGTCTTCATTTCCCCCGCAGGATTTCACCCACTATGAGCTTCTGTTGTTGTTTTGTTTATGCAAAGTTAGTCAGCCTGAGACACGGAGAAAGTGCTGAGATACTCGCTGAAGAAGGCAAAAATGATTTTTAAAATTTAAATGAAACCACGCACACACGCGCGCGTTCGCGCGCGCGCGCACAGGCACACACTGGGTCGGGGCAATCCCTGCCCGCAGACTTTGAAATGAAAACACGCCGAGGAGGGCGGGCGGGAGGCCGCCGCAGCAGCGGGGAGCGTTGTCGGTGACCGAAGGAGCTCTGGTGAATATCAGGTTCGGATTAGTGACAACTCAGAAGTCACGCCGGCGGTTGGGGGAGGGAAGTTTGCCAAGGTCTCAGAACTCGACGGAAGAGACAGCGGCTTCCCTTGGCGCCGGGCGGAGCTGGGCGTTCGCTGAGAGACCTCTGTCCCGGCCCGAGCCTGCCCCACCAACCCCGCTCTCACACCCCGCCCTGAGATTGAGTTTGTCAGCGATCATAAAATGGGAATTGATTATTCCAGCCACCATTGATTAGGGAAGAATGCTTACTGCAGCAGCGGGGAAAAGGTTAAGAGGAAATTGACCTTCTTCCTAGGTGACATAAAGTCATTAGGTAAATGAGATATTCACACGGGAGTTTTAAAAGGTCACGCTCAATTTTTATTTGTAGCCTGAAGAGTCAACCTGGAGCTGGGGCTTAGGGCAGGGACCCGGCTCTTGTGGACAAGCTGACCGAGAGGGAGACAACTCTCTTGCTGCGCAGGGCAGGGGCAAGATGGGAGGTGGGTTACTGTCCCGGGAGGATCGCACTGCAATTGGTGGAGTCCCGGGCCCGAGCTCTGCGCCTCGTCTGACCCGTGTGTGCGCCTGTGTCCCTCTGGGGCCCTGCGCTTTGCGCGGCGTCTCCTCCGTTCCAGTCACTCGTCAGCATAGGGATGCCGGGCAGAGACAGACAATTAAAAACACTTATCCTACCATAGCCGGCCACGTATCACACAGAGTGAAAGTGTTTTGTTTTGTTTTTTAAGGAGAGGGTGAGAGATATATTTATGCACATATTTATCCCTTTAATTATAGGAATTAATCCTCTTACTTATGACTAAAAGGTAACGTGGAAGGACGTCCCTTTGATGTGGAAAAGCACCATTTGTGACTCACATTCAGACTGATTAAGGAATAATTGTTGTTAAATGCTTTACAAGGGGAGAGTGTTTAATTGAGGGGCATTCGTAATTTTACGGCTTAGTACAAAATTAAACGTAATTAAAAACTCAGAAATTCCAACTGATTTTCCAATTATTTTTATTGTCTGAGCTAATTATTACACAAGGGTATCACTTTGCCTTAAAGGCATTTTAAAAATACCTTTTCCAAATATTCGCAGAGAAGCGACTCAAAGCTTTCCCCAGGTACAAGCTTAGTAAAGGACCTTCCTTCTTCACTCCCCTCTAATTCAGTACCCCGCCACGCGCCCCTCCTTCGCCTCCGGTAATTAAGCCTTTCAGCCACTCTCCCCTCTCTCTGAGTTCCTGCAACACCTTGGGATGTGAGAAAGTGATGGCAGTTCTCTTCTGCAGATCATTACAGCAAAACTGGAAGTATCTGTAGAAGGCTGATGAATTTCTTGAAGTAACGTTTGTCATACATGGCGGCGGGGAAAAAAAACCTAAGTAAACACAGCTCTCTGGGGGCAATCCCTCCATGCCTCTGCTTTGGGGTGTGTGGCAGGAGGGAGGTAATACCCCAGTACGGACTGGAAGTTGTTTATAAACTCACACACGAAGACGTACAGATGCACGCTGGAAACTTTCTTTTGGTTTGCACTTCTCTTTATTTATTTGAGAGTAGGATGGATATGAAAAAGCTGCTCAGTTAGATTATGAATGTTTTTTAATGCTGGGATTGACGGCAAAAAGCCAAGCTATGTTTATATGTGTAGCTTCTTTAAATGTCCAAATAGACTTATTTAAATACATCAAAAGGTTTACAGAAACTGCTTCAGTGTTATGGAAATTAAAACACATCCTCACAGCTAATCCAGGAGTGGCCTTGTCTTTCCTATCAGACTTGGCTGCCTTCCCTATTAAACCCTGAAAAAATAAATAAATAACATAAAATTGGGGAGAATGTGGAGTTATATGTTTCGATTCATCTGAACTGAGAGTATGGAGCCATGGAATGTTTGTGTTTCCGTAAGTCTAATTTCTCTGAGATTTGTAGGACAGAGACTTCAGCGGATTCTAGCATTCTATCTTCCTTTCCCCTCCACACCCCATAAAATAAATGATTGCCTCTGATCTGATATGCCAGGTGAAAATGGGTAAAATTAAAACTGTCAATTCTGCTTCCAACTGGTGTCTTTCGCTTGAGTTCAAAAGCTTTTAAAGTTAAAACGTGCCGATCATTTGTAAGTATTATTTCTTTTTCTACCATCGAGGCTTTTAAGTCAAAAGAAAGAAAAGGTATTTCTATTTCCAAATTCATTTTCCCTGGAAGATTTCAATCTGCCAGTTAATTTGATGATGGACCCTGACCGTATGAGAATGTCTGTCTGGCGAAGCCTGGTTTACCGGAGTTCGGCCAAGTGTACTCAAGTCCGGTTTTCCGTTTTTTTGTTTTTTTTTATTCCAATGGTATATTTGGAGCTGGGATGTGGATATTTAAATTCAAAGCTTTCCAAGTGTTTCAATACTATTTTGGAGAAGAGGTTAGAGTAGGCAGAGTTGGAGAGAAAGGAAGAAGGATCTCTTTGAAAGTTAGAGATGGTGAAAAAGACATGTAATCCGATGTGGAAAATCGAGTAAAAGAAGCAGTGCACACTTTAGCTTAGGCAAAGATTGCCGAAACCTTTGAAGAAACTGACACGGATTTTCCAGAGATGGGGTGGGGGTAGGGAGGGAAATCCTAGGGTGGGCATTTTATGTAAATGAGCATATTTGAAATATAGTACAAATCTGGTATAGTAAAACTGACAGTTCTGACAGTATTGACAACATAAATATATGTTTGAACACTGCACTTTCAGACACTTAACCGATGAAGCAATAAAAAAAATTCGACTACAATATTTCAAATAATCGACATTGATGTTTTGATACATCATTTTTATACTCCAAATCGATCTATCACTCTGGGGCTGGTCAATTTTAAGTAAAAATGTGCTGCAATTATTTGTACCTTGGCTAATGATGACCTAATAACAGTCTCCAATTAATCACACCTGAACTGTGCTTTTTTCCTTCCGCAATGGAGGTGGGGGACAATTCTTGGAAAACAGAACCCGCTATTTTGCCATCCTTCCCCTCCCTTGTATTCCATTTTTGCCACGGGTCCGGGGTGGAACTCCAGATTTAGGAAGGGGTCTTTGTCTGGTTGATCATAGACGTCACAGGCTGAGGTCCCCTCACCTGAAATAGCCACCTTCTGGGTCTATATTGGGAATATGGTCCTCACTTTTACTTTGAAAAGTCAAAACTAAATTTTAGAAAATTCAATCATAACTCTCCTTCAGTTTCTATGTCCTTTCTTCTGTTTCAAGGACTAGATGGAAGAGATTTGCTCAAAGATTGAAATTTTCTCTCGGGCTGTGTGTGTGTGTGTGTGTGAGAGAGAGAGAGAGAGAGAGAGAAAGAAGAAGAAGAAGAAGAAGAAGAAGAAGAAGAAGAAGAAGAGGCGGAGGAGGAGGAGGCGGAGGAGGCGGAGGAGGAGGAGGAAAGGAGAGGGAGAGCCCTCGCACAGGAGAATTTTAAGAAAGTATGGATACAGCCGAGTCTAAATCTAAAGCATCTAGTCTGAATCGAATCTCTCCCACAGCCCTATCCCCTCTGACCTCCCTACACAACCTTGTTTACAGGCTACTGGAAAAAAAGAAAAAAAAAAAAGAATAAAAGCCACAAGTAAGAAAGACAATGACCTGCAAATTGCAGGAACTGGGGAGGAGATAGTTCAGTATCGCTTCCCCACGCTCGCTGCCTCCCGCAGTCTTACCGTTGGTTTCTCTGTGCCCTGTGAGTTTTCCAGTTCTTACCCTCTCCTCTCCAAATTTGGTGGAGACGGGGGGAGGGGGAAATAAGATAAAGCTTATTAATTGAAGGAAAAAACAATCCTGAGCAGGCCTAAGATACAAAATCGAGCGGTCCATTGTGAGGTACGGATTGGGCGGAGGCGGTGGAGGACCCCTCGCACCCCCAGTCCGACTCCCTCTCGCAGGCTAGGCGCCGCGGCGTGCTGTTCCCACCCCTGTGAAGCCCCGACCCTTCCTCAAACTCGCACTGAGACTCGGCCTTCTGACCTAAAACTTAGCTGGGCTCCACTAGCCCTGAATTCCAGTGTCTGATTTCTTTCCTCCAAACTTCACGAATGTGGTTTTAAGCCCCTCCAAACCAGCGCCAGCTGAGACGCTGGGACTTAAGCAACACGCTATGCAACTTCAAGATGCTAATCGAAGGCAAAGGATGTGTGTGAGCCGCGTTGGGTAAGGGGAGGAGGGATCAGAAGAGACAGCTCCGTGGCCAGAGCATCCCGCGGTTGTGAGGGTTACTAGTCTCTGGCTGGGTCTTTCCAAGCCGCCTGAGCTGCAAGTTGGGGTAGGAACTAGACAAGAGGCCGCAGGAGGACAGAAAAGAGAGAAAAACAATCGAGATAGCGGAAGAGACGAAAGAAAAAGAAGGAGAGAGGAAGGAAGAGAGCGAGGGAAGGAGGAACAGCAAGAGCGAGCGCACGCTGTGTTTGGAGTCCCGCCAGATAGCGCTAGAGGGCTATTTATTGAATTCCTTTCTGCGAGATGGTGAAGAAGCTAAAATTGGGAGAAATAAGAAGAAAATTGGGCAAAAGAAAAAATGTCTAATAATTTTACTCCATTTTATTTTAAAAATAAATTGTGGGGTGCTTAAACGTTATTAATGGGAGGAGGTGGAGAAAAATTTACGGTAGAAACCTGAACTGGGAAGGGACCAAAGGACCAAAAGCCACCACGACCACCACCAACACCAACAAAAGCAAACAAAAAAGTCCCCTTCCCTCTGTTCATCCCAGCTAGGAAGAGCGAGTAAAGTTAACAGGTGAGGAAGCCAATGCAATTACTTGTAGGCCAACTTTCAGAGCTGCTGGTTACACTGCTGGGAAGGTCAAGGGCAGCTCACAAGGATAAGCCGATGTTTATGGAGAAAGGATGTCTGAAAAGTAATAGATGGCTGCAAGGGGTGGAGAAGGAGAGACAAACACATTATTGGAAACGCCAAATAAAATATACATCAAAAATTCCAACTGTCAGCCAGCAGGTCTTGAGCAGACGATAGCCCCTTCTGCCTTTGTCCCAGCGATGCTGGGCTCAGGGCTGTTTCTGCAGGGCTGAAATCAAACTCCTTGAATAACAATTTAGATATACTCTGAGAAGCTTGGAGAAAAGAACTAGACTACAAAAATTCACTGTGTCGTTCCGAACCCAAAGAAAAGTGCTGGGGATGGAAAGAGAAGACCTAGTGACAGAGGTGGAGTCCAGAGAGAGAGATGGAGAGAGAATAACATATTTTGATCACTTTTACTTGCTCAGTTCAGTAATGCAAGACAGAAAACTTCTTTCAAATGATACTTTACTTTTAAGTGTTGAACTGCTTTTATCCTAAAAATCCCTGCCATTTCACATATCTAGCTTCTAATTTTAAACCTGCACTTTCCTTTGAGCTGAAGGAATTTTTGAAAATCAAAGTAATAATTCATGTCTTTTTTTTCAAAGCCAGTAAATAGTACTTCCCTCTGGGAATAAAAATTAATCTTACATAGTTTTTAAAGATCTGCTTCATCCAAAAAATTCTAAATCAAAACATTAAATAAAGTTACAAATAAGATTAAGGTAGAATGTATTTGCTTCTCTAGCAAGGTGTCAATTGTTCTGTTGTAAGAAGACAAAAAGGATTAAACCTGGTGATTTTAATACACAGATGAACACTTCGGACTTCACAGTTCTGAGGAATTTGAAGTTATCTGTGCTGAGAATCTATAACTTTCAAGAAAAAGAAAAAGAAACAGCTACACAAGCTCCTGAAGGAGTGTGGGCAAATTCACCTACAGTCTGGGTTCATAAATGCTCAGTTCAAATTAAACACTCCCCATAAAGCCAATGCCCTTCAAATTAAGGGACTACAGTGGAATTCAATTATTTCTTTTAAATCTTAAATGTTACCTATGAAATCATTTCATGTTGGCTCAAAAAAGAAAAGGAAAAAGAGAAAGGTAGCAGTTTTTAGAAGTCTTGGGGTTGCCTCAATAAGAAAGAGGTGATTAAAAACAGACTCTTAAATTTGAGAGGCCCGATTCCCCCCTCCCATTCCTCCCCACCCTCTTGGTCCCCTCCTTTTCACCTCTTTTTTATGCAGTACCCCCACCCCCACTCTAGAGCTAAGTAGCTGATTTGGGATTCTGAAGAAATAGGTTTCACCGTCCATATTTGTTCTGGGGCACTTGTAAAATGCGATTTGTAGAGGGTCTTTAGCTTTCTGATTGTCTTTGAATTGTTTTTACTGAAACAGATCTTTTGCAGTTAATGAGTCCCCACGCAGCTGGACAGCTCCTCTCGGACACTGAGAACTCTAACCCCAAAATGACCCCAATTTGACACCGCAAGATGAAATTTTACCGCCTGTTAAAACCATTTCCAGCCTGGGCAGAAGGAGCCGACTGTTGACGGAGGTGAGTGGCACCTCCTGCGACCCCCATTTCGTGCCTGTCTCCGGGGCCTGCCCCACCTACTTTCCTTTCACCCCAAATGTGGGAGAGCAGATGAGCCTGGAAGCCTGGGTGGGAATGCCAAAGCTGACAATAGGGCATTAGCAAAATGCCACCAGACTAGACATCAGAAAGTGCGGGCACCCTACTCCTTTGGAATCGCTTCTATTGGACTGGAAAATAGGGGATGGGGGAAACCAGTAAATTCTTAAATGTTAGATGAGCCTTTTCAGCTCTATTAATAAAACACCAGCAAGTTGCTGATTAAAGGCAATAGTCCTTTAAATTCATCAGACTGGCCAAGAACCGATATCCTGAGTCGACTCCAACTTGATCTCCTAGTGTGTAATCCACTACACTAGAATTGCTATTGTAAACTACGAGTTTCATAAATGACATGCAACTAGGTAAGACCTCTTTCATTGCAAGAAATTCTGGGTTCTCCCCTAAGAAAATTGGCAAATTTTAAAAGACATGGATTTCCTCCAGTAGGAATGCAGTTTTAACACTCTTACACTTTTTAACTAAAAGTCGTTGAAGTTAAATATGATTTTATGACAATATCTTAAAATGTCATATTTCTCTCTCCCTCCTACACCTAACCATATTGTCCCTGTTGTTTGCTTTAATGTATTCAATAAAATGCAAAAGAAGTTAAGAATATGAGAGAGAGAAAGAGAGGAAGAAAGGCATTAAGGTTAAAAATGCCTTCTGCATCTCTGGAAAGATGAAAACACATGAAAATAGAGTTTAAACTTGTCTTCTTTTCTAAAATCCAAGATTATCACCGGATAATCAACTCATTATTAGCTTACAATTGTTTGAAAATATAGAAATCGGCTGGGCGCGGTAGCTCACGCCTGTAATCCCAGCACTTTGGGAGGCCGAGGGGGGTGGATCACGAGGTCAGGAGTTCGAGACCAGTCTGGCCAACATGGTGAAACACTGTCTCCGTCTCTACTAAAGACATAAAAAATTAGCCGAGCGTGGTGGCGCGCGCCTGTAATCCCAGCTACTAGGGAGGCTGAGGCAGAAGGATCGCTTGAACCCGGGAGGCGGGAGCTGCAGTGGGCCGAGATCTCGCCATTGCACTCTAGCCTGGGCGACGGGGCAAGAATCCGTCTCAAAAAAAAAAAAAAAAAGGAAGAAAGAAAGAAAGAAAAGAAAAGGGAAGGAAAAGAAAATATAGAAATCATCAATCTGTCTGAACTGTTTTACTCAGTTGCACTGCCAGGGACGGAACATTTTTCTAAAAATGCGACCAAGTTTTTCTAAATTAAAGCTATAGCGATGATAACTCACTTTACAGTATCACTATAAAAACAGAAGCGGTTGAAAAACAGAGTTAACAATGTTGAATGTTTAAACTCTGCAAGGCAGAGGTTCTGTATGAAGTTGATTTTTAACCGCCCCCCCCAAAAAAAGATTAATCAAGGACACTGAGGGGTTTCTTTTAAAAAGAAAGGTAACTGGCACTTACTGAACAAGACAGTTGAAACAACAATCCTATTATCGACGATAAATTTAAATTCTTAAATTAAATTTAAGAATAATTAGAAGAGGAAAAACTGAGTATAAACTTCTCAGTCAGCGGCGCTGCACCGGGAACTTGGACCCACCAACATCAACAGCTTTGCAAAGTCGAAAACTCTCCGCAGCGAGAGCAGATTGTCGTTTTTTCCCCTCGCGACCCCGCCGCCCTCTCAACCTCCGCGTCCCGGCTAAACTGAAGTCGCGTAACTGTCGATTGAAATAAAATTCTGAAGACCAACTTTTTCTCTCTTGCATCTTCTTTTCTTTTTTACTCACCTTCTCTTAAATGTCGACGAGCAACTCAGCAACAAATAAGGATACTTTTAATCGTGGAGTTCTTCTAGAAAAGAAAGAGGAGGTGGAGGAAGTACCCTCCCCCCAACGTTCAGATTTCCTACCCGTCGGCTCTAGCAGGCTTGAAGCCGGGCAAAAACAGTGGCTGAAAACCTGGGTTACATTCTCCTCCCTTAAGCTCCGTGAGCTTGGCCGTCCCTGCTCGGGCCACCCGGCAGAAACCTCACGGCCCGCAGCCCCTCTCCCCGGCGTCGCGCTAACCGCGCCTCTGCCAGCCCCTTCGCACTATCTTTCTTTATATGTGAGGGCCGATTTCCCGCAGACATCATTGTTATGATGGCTCATTTAATCAAACTGTTTAATTGCTCTGGTAATCACTATCATCATCACAGGTGCTCAATCATTCATCATTTTTGGAGGGCTTTATTGACCTCCGGAGTTCATTCCTCAGCCCTATTAAAACGAGGCCAAATTTCGCCGACTCTGCTTGGAGTCTCCGCAGGCTGCAATCTTAGCCTAGTTTGCGTTGCTCGAAAGCTTACAGTGAAGCAGGGAAGATGGAAAGGGGGCAAAAAAAAAAAAAGCCCTCCCACCAGCCCTCCTCCCCGCGCTCTCTCTCGCTTTCTCACACACACGCGCGCACGCGCGCACACACACACTCACACACACAGAGTACTTTATTCTCTCTAATCAACCTTCCCCACCCCACCCTCCGTCCGCGGGAAAGTCTGATAGACGCGGCGCGCGGAAGATATTCTACTCTCTACTTCCCAGATGGGTTTAAAGTTGAAGAAGGACGCGGCTGTTGGAGAACAACAATCCGCTTTCGACTCTCTGGGCCAGGGACTGGGAGAGCGATGGCTAGAAGTTGAGGAGAGGGTGCGCTTCCAGCTCCTGTCCCGGCCGGGCCGTGCCACCGGGGCCGAGCGGCGGCGGGGGCTGCTGGGCTGCGCGGCGCGCGCGGGGTGACCGTGGCTCCGCCCCCAGCTCAGGGCTCGGCGTGAGTGACGCGCGGCCGCCGGGAAACCAGCCGCGCAGTGGTAAAGCCTGGTGCAGCTCCGGCCAAGTAGGACGAGGCATCGGCCACAGCTAGTTTCCACCCATATGGTGTGGAGTAGTTCTCTTCCTTTCCTCCTCTTTTCCTTTTTGGAAAAGTTCTTACGGAGCCGGTCCCTAGTCCCTGACCCCGCGAAATCGCCCTTGTGTAATTAACACAGCCATTAGCAGGCGTTACCGCCGCTGCGCCTCGGGCGACCACAACAAAGCTGGGCTGTGAGCGCCGGCCACTCCTCCTTCGCCCGGCAACTTCTTTCTCCCCCTCTTTTTCTCTCTCGGTCTTTTCCTCCTGTGCTTCCCAGCTCTGAGTGAGATCCACTTCGGAGACGCACATGAGTCGCGCGCACGCGCGCGCGTACACACACACACACACACACACACACACGCCCTTGGCTACATCGGACCCAAATGACTCGCTCCTCATTTCCTCCCTCCCCACGCTGCTGAGCCCCCAAAGACTCTCGGGGTGGCCCCTTGTCCGCGCTGCTTGGAGGGAGTGTGCTCTGAGTTAAGCTGGTCTCTTCTGGTTCTGGAAAAAATGAGTATTGATAAGGTTGCTGGATCTGCGTAGAAAAGAAAGTGCCACTTAATAAAAAATTTAGCCCGGCAGTGGTACCGTCTGCAGAGCTTGCTGCCCTTGGACCTTAGCAGGAAGCCTTCGGGGTGCTGTAATCCGCGGGCAGAGAGGGAGGCCGCGGAATTAAAAAGAACAAAAGCGAGAGCGCCATGAAAACGTGCCCGACACGACCCAGTTAGGCAGGAGCCGGGAGTAATGGGAAAATGAACTAGAAGTAAGTTTTTTTAAAAAATGAAAAGATCTGAGGCGGTACCGTACTTTCCCTGTGGTTTTCTGCAGTTTTCCTCTCTGCGCTCTCCCTGTCCTCTTCTCTCCGCTCTCTCTCTCTCCCCTTCTCCCTCTCTCCCTGTTCGCGCGCGCGCGCACAACACACTCACGCGCGCACGCACACACACTCACACATACACACTCTCCCCTTCCTTCCCCAGCCGCCCCCCAACCCCGTGGAGAAGCAGGCTCGCTGATTTGCTCGGGTCCGCCCTGCCCGAGCCTCCCCTCCCCCTCCCGCCCCCCGCCTCCCCCGCCCCTCTAGCCCGGGCTGTCCGATCGCACTCGTTGCATATCAGAGGCACTGCGCGGCGCGCTCCTCCTCGCTCCCGCTCCCCACTCCCGGGATGTGTCTCCGCCGTACGACGGGCTATGGCCACCACGACTTCCGGGTTCCGTCATTTCGTTCTCCCGCCGCCGACCCGCGCCGCCAAACTGAGGCTCTTCAATAAGCCAGGCAGCAGCCAACCTGCCAACACCTACTGACACTCACTCATCTCCCAGAGAGAAAGAGAGCGAGAGAGAGCGAGCGCGAGAGAGCGAGCGCGAGTGAGAGCGAGCGAGCGAGCGAGAAAGAGAGAGAGGGAGAGACAAAATACCTACCAGGAAAGGGGGGGGAGGAAGTCCAATTTTTGCAAACTATTCATATTTTTTTTTCTTGATTTTTCTCCCTGCTTTTTTTGAACAATACTTTAAAGAGAGAGGATCATATTATCGATACCGCGGGGGCAAAGCTATAAAAGGGGGGAGGGGGGAGGAAAAAATTCAAGAAGCAGAAACCCCTCGCGGAGTTTTACTGGAAGAAAAAAAACGGGTCTGAAAGATTCCTCCTCTTCATCATCATCAACCATCATTCATTCACTACCTTGACATTCCGGGCTTTGATTGACAGCTGGAGTGGCAAAAAGCCATGAAACACGACAGTTCGGTTACATGTGGGCTGCTGACGGGCCGCTCGTAACCTTCAGTTCGGGGGCTTGACAATTTTTTTCTTCTTTTTCTTCTTTTTCTTTTCTTTTTTTTTTCCAACTGAGGGGAAGAGAAGAGAAAGAGGGGGAAAGGAGGACCGAAAAGGAGGAGGAGGAGGAGGTGGAGGAGGAGGAAGATCAGGAGGAGGAGGAAGAAGAGGAAAAAAGAGAAAAAGAAGAAATATCACAGAAAAAAAAAAAAACTCTTCGTTGTCTTGCCTGGGCTTTTCCCCCCCTAAAAAATAACATATTGGAGAATTGGGAGAAGTCTCTTTGGTTTGGAAAAAAAAAAAAGGAATCTTCAGCCTAGATCACTTTCTTATCCGGACTGGGATATTAAATATACGACACATCCAGGAGTTTATTGGAGCGCAGACTGATGGCGCAAAGGGTAGGTTTAAATCTCCAACACTTACCTAGATATAAATCCTCTCTAAGAGGGGCCTGTCCCGATGCCTCCTCTCCCTTCAACGCTTCTGCTGCTGCTCGTTGCTTGATGATGGCGGCCAGTATTTTAAAAAATAGCAAAATTATTCATCGGCTTCTTTCCCCCCCGTGCCTCTGCGTGTGTGCGAGTGTGTGTGCGTGCGTGTGTGCGTGTCTGGGCGCGCGTGTTCCAGCGCTGTGCGAGCGGGCGGGCGGCGAGTGCGTGTGAGTGGTGTGTGTGCGTGTGCAATTGTTACACGCTTTCGCCTCGCTACAGCTTTTACCCCAGCAGCGCGATTCCCCCGGTTCTCCTGCTGCCGCTGCTGCGCCGCTGCCGCCGCTGCTCGCGCGGCTCGGGGCGGGCACAGGCTGCGTAGGAGCCGCCGCCGGGGCCGCCGCTGGGGCCGCGCTGCCGCAGCCGCTGCGCCGCCGCCTAGACTACTAGCCTGGGCTGCTTGTTTTGTCTCTGAAATTGACAAGGACGCAGGGAATCCGCTGCTAAATAATGTTTCTGGTAACTTTCACGTTATTCCCCCCCACCCTCCGCTCCCTGCCCCCGGGGAGGCACTGGCCCTGGTCTTTCCTCGTCCTCGGCGTTCTCTTGCTGATTATTAGGGTTTTTCTTCTCTTTATTTTGTTTCATTTCGCCTTTTGATTTATTGGATCCTCTGGAGGAGGCGAAGGGGGGTTAGGGGTGGGATCCGGGGCTTCCTCCTCACACTAACTCCACTTCTCCCTCCGTTGGCTCGCTACGGTTCTGTTGCCTCCGGCGGCAGCGGGGCCTCCCGGCTCCCCCTCGAATCCCCGGCCTCGCCACCTCCTCTTCCTTCTCTAAACGTTGCTCTCGGTTCATGCTTTTTCATTTTTAAATTGAATAACATTTTTCCCCACAACTTTCAACTTCGTTGTTTTGGCTGGTTTGGTTTCTGTGTGTTCAACTTGTGCTCGATACTTTTCTCTTTTCTGACTTTTTTATTTTTATTCTCTCTCTCTCTCTCTCTCTCTCTCTCTCTCTCTCTCTTCCTCCCTCCCTCCCTCTTCTCCTATCTTCTCTTTCTCTTACCTCTCTCCCTCTCTCTCTCATCTTTATCCCTTCCCCTCTTTTCTGTTCACCCTCTTCTCCCTGCTCTTTTTCCCTTTCCACCCCCCTCCTCTGTTCTCCCTCACCTCATGCGCCTCCTCCCCCTTCCCGGGTTCTGACAGTACGATGAGCTGCCCCATTACGGCGGGATGGACGGAGTAGGGGTTCCCGCTTCCATGTACGGAGACCCTCACGCGCCGCGGCCGATCCCCCCGGTTCACCACCTGAACCACGGTCCGCCGCTCCACGCCACACAGCACTACGGCGCGCACGCCCCGCACCCCAATGTCATGCCGGCCAGCATGGGATCCGCTGTCAACGACGCCTTGAAGCGGGACAAGGACGCGATCTATGGGTAAACCGACCCCCCCCACACCCAGCTTACTGTGTGTGAGTGTGAGTGAGAGTGTGTGTTTGTCTCTGTGGGGGTGGGAGGGTGGACCACTAAGTGGGGAGTTATTTCTGCATGGTGGGGGGCGGGCGCCGCTTGCCTTAGGAAAGTATCCTGGAAGGGGCCTGCTTTTCTGCCCCATGGAGTCAAAGACCAGAATATCTAGCCTCCTGCACTCTCACAGGCAGGCCACTCCGGACCGCATAGCTCGGAGTGACTGACTCCACAGAATCTTGCCGGGGCCTTCTCCCGGAGGACAGGATTCCTGGCCAACCGATGCAGGGCCGGTAGTTTCAGGCCCCCTAACAGAGGCCTTGACGAAGGAGAAAGTTTCCTGCCGATGAGGAACAACTTTGGGGTTTTTTCTTTTTTATTTTTTTCTCTTCTGTTTCCTACTGAGGGTCTGGAAGTCGCTAAAAGCAGCTTGAGCTGGGATCAGGGCTGCTTCTGTCGGCCAGGAAGTCCTAATCACCCACTTCTTAATTCTCTGTAAATAAAGGGGGCAGACCTTGAAGTGCAGCGAGGTGGAAGGGACTGTTGCTTGCTTGGAGCAGCTCTTAGTGGGAGTAAGGAAGATGGCTGGAAATTATTTTATATTCTGAGAGCACTTGGCGAGGGGTGGGATGCACGATCCTAACCTGCACCACACGGGCTTCCGGCTGAGGGTAGGTGGGCAAAGCGACGGGATGCCGAGGGGAGGGGACAGTGGGTAAACAGCAACTGAGCCCCAAGCCAGAGGCCGCAAGCATCCCGAAGTGTGGCTAAGCCGCCAGTAGGAACACAAAGGGCATACGCACAAGCACACTTACAAGTTTTAAAACACGATTTATTTATTTTTGTCTGCTGCAAAGCTGGGAGAAATGTGGTCTTTGGAAGGAAGCTCTCCAGAGTGTAACCTTCCTATTATTTTGGCCCCCACACTGAGGCTTTAGTAGAAGTGGAGCAAACAAGTTTATAAGGCAAGAGGGTGGAGAGATTAGAAAAGCATTCTCTCGCATTTAGGAAGTGTCACTCCGGTGTGTTTGTAGGTGAAGACTTTGGCCTCGTCTGAAATGCCCGTTAAAATTCAGAGTTAGAACAATTTTTTTATTTCAAGCAGTGTTTCTTTCTTGGGAGGTCAGGGCGTCCCAAGGGTTGGTTCGGCGTCCTCGATAGTGTGGGGAGTGGATCAGAATCGACTCCGGGCTCCAGACTGCCTGAGCGTCTCGGATGTTTCATTACGTTCCAACTGAGGCTGTTTTTATTTGTCGGGCTGCAGTGTCAGGGGGCTCTGGCCAGATTTGAGAGACCTCTAAACTGCGGGAAAGGGCCAGGCCCTTTTCCCTTTCTGTTTCTGGATCAGGCTCGGCTGACTGAGGAAGGGTTGTAAAGTGTGATGCGTGCCTGTTGTATTAAAGAAGGACTCCACACCCTCCAAACTTGTTGATTACAGTTCTTGCTCCTTCCCCTCTGCACCCCGTCTCTGTGTGTGTGTCTCTGCGTGGCGCTGCCCGTTAGGCACCCGTTGTTTCCTCTGTTAGCTCTGGTCTTTGAGAAGTGCGAGCTGGCGACCTGCACTCCCCGGGAACCTGGAGTGGCCGGCGGAGACGTCTGCTCCTCCGACTCCTTCAACGAGGACATCGCGGTCTTCGCCAAGCAGGTCCAACCTTCTTGATCCACTCATCTTCGGGCAACCCCTCACTACCCCTCCCCTCTCCTCGGAGCTTTACTTGAAAGGAGGAAAGGCCAGGGACACCCGATCTGTTTCTCTGGCCCAGTCCGCTCTCTACACCTCCTCCCCATCCCTAAGCCTGGGGGCGAATTGGAAGCGGAGATAAATATGGGTGTTTGTTTTCCCCCCCAGCAGGAATACAGGGACTCGACCCTCGAATTAAAGTTGACCTGCTCCTAATCTGGGGCTTGGCCTTTCCCCCCCGCCTCCAGCTACTTGAACAAGAATTGGGGAGAGGGGCTGTGAGGGACCCGGGAGTGCCCGGGAGGCAAGGAAGATGGGCGCCTCTCCGAGTGGTCCCAGGCAGCAGTGGAAAGCCACAGCCTCTTGGACGGCTGGATAAGGGGCTATTCGGGGCTCTGCGAAAGGCCCTGAGTTCCCGGCTACAGCTTGGTCGTACTAGGTCCGCCTTAATGGGGCCCGGACCAGAATGCCCTGATTCTTCTTCAGCGACCCCACTAATTTAAGGCACCAGCTTGTTTCTTGTATTTTGCCAAAGCCCCTTTCCTCTTCTCCGCCATTGCCCCTTCACCGTCCCCACTCTCACGTTTCAGTTTTCTTCTTTTTAAATGGGGTGGTCGTTCAAGCTGACTTTCTCTTTTCTTACAGGTTCGCGCCGAAAAGCCACTTTTTTCCTCAAATCCAGAGCTGGACAATTTGGTAAGGCTCTCTGTTCCTTGTTTTTTCCCCAGCCTTTGCCCTCTCCCATGCCCAGAAGCACCCACTTTCTGCCGGAGCTCTGGAGAGTTCGGACAGAACCCTCTTTTGGAGCTCTAAAGAGAGGGGGAAGTAGGGAGAAGCTTAGAGCCCCCGCCCGGGAGCTGGCGAGCGAGGGGCAGGAGGGACTTGGTGGGGAGCGAAGCCCAGAGAGGCCGAAACGGGAGACCAGGCGCCGAGAGCGCGAGCGGGGGATGTTTCCCAGGTCTCGGCCCCAGGAGTAAAGTGCGAGAAGTGAGTTATTTCCTCTGTTTGCCGGGGCAGGCGGCCGAGCCCCGGGCGGCTAACCCGAAGGATGTAACCGCTGGCAAGGCTGAGGGCGGGCTGGGGGTGGGGGCTGGAGGGCGATGAGGGGCAGGCCAGCGCAGGCCACTTTTAGGTGCGATTCTTTTGCTAATTTGCACGATTTCAATATTAAAAGTACTTAAATCCGCTTTCAAAGGCCCTGCCTCAGCATTCATCTTGAGTATTTCCTTCTTTAGTGAGGAAGAATTTCGCTGGGTGTGCTCTTTCTAAAAAGCTTTTTCTATCCAGAGAAGAGACTTTTTTTTTTTTTTTTTTTTTTTAATTTGTCCTGAGGTCGAGGGAGGGGATGTTTAAAGAGGACTGAGAAGAGAAAAAAGGCCTGGCCCGAGGAAAGCAGTCCTTACAAATAGCACAGCGAACATCTGGGGGAAAGATATTAATGCTTATGCTCAGGTTGAGTCAGATTCCTACCCCGTGGCCAATGAGGCAGAGACGATCAGTAATCACTTGATTTTTCTGACTGTTTCTTGATGTGTAGGTTTTCCCTGGCCACCTGCCCATTTCTTCTCCCCAGTCCAATTTTCTCACCACCATCCGTCCTCACACCACCCCCAACCCCAATGCAGGACCTTCAAGTCACAGAGGTCTAACTCCATTCCCTGAACTTTTCTTTCAGATGATACAAGCAATACAAGTACTAAGGTTTCATCTTTTGGAGTTAGAAAAGGTAAGCAATAAATAACACTCCCCGTGTTGATGAAACCACTTTCCGCTCCTAGTTGAGTTGGGATGCTTTTAACAAACCTCTAGTATGAGGGATTGAGCACCTGGAGATTTTGAGCATGTAACCATGTCCATCCTTCAACTTGCTTCTTAACACAGGGTCCCAGAGGATGGGTGAATCAGGACAGCCTTGCCTTTAAAGTAGTCTCCTCCTCCCCAGTATTCCCCCCTCAGGCATTCAGGATTATTTTGAAATGCAGCAAACCATTTGTGTTACCGGACACTCAGCCTGCTTGCGTCTTTATTAGCTCAGCTCACCCTCTGCCCAGGGTTTGCATTAGGTGCGAGCAGAGTGAATCATCCTCCCTCGGTGTCTTTACATTGCTCTGCAGGTCAATTACTTTCTCCTGGAAACATACAAAACTCCTAGCTTATAGAATTATAAATGTTAATGCTCTCCCACGTTCCAATGTTGTAATGTTTTGATATTACTATCAAATCAGATTTAATTCCCTGGACTCCCAGTCTGAACCCAGTTATTTCCAGTCCTATTTCTTTCTGTCTCTCTACTGTAACTTGTTGCTCAGAGAAGTCTCTGGAGAATAATATCTGCTGCAACAATTGCTCTATTGTTTCCTTGCCTTCAACTATTACAAACTTTAATTAGAGTTAGTTTGGAAGACATCACACTGTTGCTCTTTCCAAATGTAAGCTTGCAGCCTGGTATTTTTCCTTTCTAAAAATGAAACAAAACAAAACAACAACAACATGAGCTGAACCCTCCAACATGACCTTCGTTCTAGGTCCACGAACTGTGCGATAACTTCTGCCACCGATACATTAGCTGTTTGAAGGGGAAAATGCCCATCGACCTCGTCATTGATGAAAGAGACGGCAGCTCCAAGTCAGATCATGAAGAACTTTCAGGCTCCTCCACAAATCTTGCTGACCATGTAAGTCTGCTAGCCTTTGGCAATCTTTTAAGGTCCCTGGGCAAAGCATTATTTAAAACTACTTGTTTTAACATCTAGCTCCACTGATTTGGTTTTCTGATTTGGTCTCTTTTGGGGTCTTTTCTTCTCTTTCTCACTCTCTCTGCATACCCTTCATCTTCATTTCTCCTTTCTTGGACCCCCCCTCTTCTGTCTATATTGAGAGCCAGAAAACCAGAGAGTTGATAGAGTGATTTGTATTCTTAATGTGTAAAGTTTTCTGGATTTGGTGACTTGAGTGTTACAAAATTCTGTTTGATATAGTCACCACTGTCTTTTCTGCTTTCTTAATTCTGTGTAATCAGTGCAGCAGGGATAGAAAGAGGGAAGACAGTTAGCTGGACTGGTCTGGACAGAGAGGACTGAAGGAAGGAGAGTTGGGGAGTCAGTGCTGATTTCCCAGTCTCTCACAGAGATGACAATTCTGAGAATTATTGGCAATCTTGCACTGCATTTGAAATAAAAGGAGTGAATGAACACATTACAATTCTCAGGGCTTTTACTCTATAGAAACTTATTGTCAGAATATGGACTTATTGCCAAGTGCCTGAAGCATCTTCATAATAAAAGACAGTAACCTTGATGAACCAATTATTAACAATGTATTACAGAAAGCTGAAGGGAATTATGATTGAGTAACCATAGGTTAGTGGTTGAATTTTAACACTTTAACAGTTGGTGAATGAGGATGGAGAGTATAGTAAGAAATGACTGTGTATGTCAGGCCAGGAAAGGAGATTTCTTTCTATTCTCTCTGTTTCTAATCCTATTTTGGAACCAATCTAGTGAGTCTGATGCTTAAAAAAAAAAAAGCATATGTAGTGAGACTGAAAATTTGAAAAAGAAGCAAAGAGAAGGAAGATTGCAGCTGGTAGGAAAGGCAAGAGTGGCGAGGTTAAAGAGTGGGTGTGAACAGCAGTTTATTTATAGGAACTCAAGCCTGGAAATGGGGGACAGGGTGTCTATAGATTACATTCAGTTGAACTCACAGCCTAAATGATAGAAGCTGTAGTTTAATAACTTTGTGGCCGAAATATTAATTTAACACTCTGTGTGAGTTAAACAGGCATTAAGGCTTGAAGGCAGTTTGTCCCTACCTCCCATCCCAATTCCTGAGTGTTATGAGAAATGAATGGGGATGCCTTAATAGAAACCTTTTATGAGGTTCTTCTCTCCCCTGCTCCAAACAAAAGTTTTGAAAATATGCAATCGTAGATTTTCATAATTAACCTTTGCACTTGTATGGGAAGTCAGCATAAAAACAAAAGTTAGAAAAAGTCTAGAAAAGAAAACCTGAGTCTGTGATATCCAGTTCTGTGACAGAATAATTACTAAGGTGTTGAAGGCTCCCATGCCTATCTTTACCTTTACCTTTTTCCATCATGGTGAGGGAATCTTTGATGAGCTCCTTTGTTACTGAGTGAATGTAATGAAATCCAAAGGATGCAGCAGCAGTTATAGAAAGTTGATTCGCTGATCTGTGGCTCTACGTTGTGTTGTGGTCCATGAGGCTTGACATTACCTAAGAAATATTTATCTTTGTTGTTTTTTATGTGTTTACTTTCATTATTTGCTGTTTCTAAATTTATATTTATTCACATTATTGGGAGAATGGGGAGGAATCTATTTACATAGTTTGTAAAATGAGAGATTCACAGTTCTTGGAGCTAAAAGCTTTTCTCATAATATTTCTGGGGGTACCAACTACTTAGTTTTCTAAAACAGTTTCTTGGCACCTGTTTTTCCAGTGAATGTATAGAGCTAGAGCATGTTGATGTTTACATAGAAAAGATAAGATAAAATAGGCTGTTTAAAGTATTGGCTGATAGACAATATCAATTTATGAAACTATTATAATATTTAAATACCCACTCAAGAAGGAAGTTGTACCTAAGAGGATAGTGCTTTAATAATTTATCAATCATCATCCTTGGATAAAAGAGTCAACTGTAACATTTGTTGCTCTCCTTTCAGTCCCCTAGTCAAGTAAATATGACAACTGATTTATTTTGAACCCATGAGGGCTTGCCACCTCATTGGGTGTCATAATTTAAAGCCTTTTATTTCCTAGAGATCTGAACTATAACATTTTTACTTCAGCCCCCTGCTATTTGTTTTGAAAGGAAGCAATAATTTGTTCCACCAGCACACCAAGTAGAAAATGGAGAGGTTTGCCACAGACTTGTATTTTATGCGGGAACTTGAGAGAAAACCTTGGAGAGATTTCATCATTTTTGAGACTTTTGTACCATAGGTGTATTGATTATATTCATGTCCCGGCTTTCCCCTACAAAGCAAATCCTCTTATGCTTTTCAGCCTCTTCTACATAGTTGCTTTCCTCCAACTCCTTAGCCAAACACCATGTAAAAATAACAGAACCACTACCTGAAAAGTGGTATGAGCGGGACATTTTCAGAATGTAAATGTGTCCAATTTGAATCTTCAGGTTTATTTTTCATTTGCTTTGATATGCATATTTAATACATTGCCCCAGGCTGGATCTCATTTGGTGAACACTGGTGCAGGGGTGATGATGAGCCACTTCAGAAAGACCCAGACAGGGTGCTGTTTTCTTGTTTTATCTGTTGGCCCACTATTCTGATCTACTGAGCTTCCTCGTGGTTTTATTTGCACATGAAATGCTGAGAGCATTTCAACTTATTGGCTATGAATAATGACAGCTAAAAAAGAAGTGTAGTTTAATTTGTTGCGTGCCAAGCTTTCTCTTGTGGAGGTGACAGTTTGTGACAGCTGTTTGACACCCCCAAAACACATACACCTCTATCCCTATTAAGTGGTATCTAGCTACATTGTGTGCGTGCGCACGCGTGTGTGTGTGTGTGTGTGTGTGTTTAAGGAAGGAACGTGCAAGGAGAGAGAGAAAAGCAGAGAGAAAGGCATCAGAAGCAAAATATTAGGTACCAGTATAATTTCAATGTTCTTTAAAAGAATTTGAAAATGTAAATAAATAAAAGTAATGGATATAAATATTTTCAAAGCCAGCATATTGGCAGACTTTTAATAATGAGTTTCCTATATTATTAGTAAATCATGTCAATTTCACATTTCATAAAGTTATGAAAATAATTTGATATAACATAGATGCATTAAAAGAGGACAACCATAACATTCTTGCCTTCCATTCCTTATATTCAGCAAGGTTACTTAGTTTATTCATCTATTATTAACATTTACGTATGATGGGTGTAATGATAAGAGGAACTTTGAAATTAAATAGAAAATAAAATATACAATATTGATTACAATTTTTTGTATTTAGCAAATTCATAATGCATGCTTATCTTTTTAATATTATAATGCATTTAATCATATACTCTTACTGTAACTTAAGAATAATACTTATAGGTAGAAAAGGGCTATTACAATCTTTTTTGGAATATTGGGGAGCAAAAATATATAATAGTCAAAGGAAATAGAACTCTGTTTTCCAGTTGCAGTTCATGTTAACTTCCTAGACATTCAAATTTATCATGTTTAAAATAAACATGTCTAGAAAACAATTTTTTTTAAAGTTTCAACTTGAAAACTACTGTGAAATGACCAGCTTTTTCTAGTCTGTAGCATTTCTCAATAACAGGTGGTACATTATCTATTTTACACAATTTTAGATCAAATATTTAGACCTAGTAGAGACAAAGAAAATATATCCTCACATTTACATGTAAAGTTATTACATATCTTTAGATCAAGTTTAGGCGAATTAAATCTATTTGCTTGAAGTATGTTGTCTGAGCTAAGCTCAATTTGCTTGAAGTGCAGACAGTTATACCATTATATTGTTATTCCTAGTTAGTGGTCATAAAGAGCTACATTTTTATTTTCTTTGAAAGAATGAAGTAGAGGAAAGAAAATACAATTGTATCTGTTAACAGTTAATAGTAGATACCTTAAAATTGTCCCACTATACTAACATCACTAATAAAAGAAAAATTATTTTAATTTATATGTTGAAAGCTGTAATTTAAATAAAGATATTCTGGTGTTTTCTTTTGCATCTCTGAATATATCAAGTTTATTTATGTCTACACAGTTGTTGTTGTTGTTGTTTTCTTAATGGGTTAGGTCAGAGAGGAAAATCTCCAGAATCTTATTTCTGACAGAAAATGGGCAAGTGACTCTAGATAAATTCAATTGCTACCTGAAAAATTAGAGGGGAGTGACAGTGAGGGGTGGGATGGGTTTAAGTGGTTGTTCTATAGAATATCAAGGGGGAAATAATGAAATTTGATAATAATATTAATAATTGCATGCTCTATTTTATTTGCTAGTTTTTTATGTCCTAGTGTAAGGCGAGACCTTCTCGTATGCTATCCAAAGCCTTTGGGGCCTGTTCTGATAAAGTTCTACTTCTGAGCTCTGTACAGCAACTCAAGGAAACATGGCTGGGGCATGGGTTTTCTGTTGTGTTTCTGCTGTGCACTTTCTGGTGGTTGATAGCTTTCCGGTAAATTTCCCATCAAGAATAATTATTCTATTTAAATCGTTTAGATTGTGCAGTTGGAGTATGTTTTCAGTGTAACTGTGATGAGATTAAATTAAACAAAGGTTGTACTTGACAACCACATAGACATTCACTATCAGGTTTTTTAAAAATTGGCATTAATTCATTTTCTTTTTTTTTTTTAATGCTAAATGTTCTGTGAAATATCCCAACACAATTCAAAGTTATAAGAGGCATTTTATAATATGGCATTACACCAACAATACAAGACATTTCCGTCTTCTCTAAAAGTTGCTCGATTAAATGGAGGAATCATTTGTAAAGGGTACTTGCCACTTCCATGAGAGTTGCTTACATATTAATTCCCAAAGCTTAATAGAGAGATAGAAGTGTGGAGGTGAGGGAAGGACCCCAGCTTTATTTGCATTTTTAAAGAGTGAGTCCAGGTTCTGAAAGCACACACAGGTCTCCTGACTTCTTATGTCAACTTTACAATAA